GCAGGTGGTGGAGCAGGAAATCCCGTGGGAAAAGGGAAGGCGTTGGCTGTAGGAGCGGGTCGATTGTGGATTCCCGGAAGGTGAGGACTCCTTCCCTAACATCCTCAATGCCCAGCTACACCCAACCTGGCCGCGGCACGCAGCAGGCGCCCAAGAAACTCTAGTCAGAGAGAAAAGCACTAGCTTTCGCTCTGCCCCCTGCCCCACCCCAGGGGCGGGACTGTAGAGGCGCCTGAAAGGGAAGTTGTTCAGTCAACTCGGAATAGGGGTAGCAACCCGGAAAGTGGAACCACAGTCTTGGTCTAGGCAGACCCCTTCCCCTCTCTACCAAAGACCGCAGCCCCGGAAGTCATTCCATCTCCTGCAGCTCGCAATTTCCAGCGGCCCCCTCGTACCTTCCAGCCTGATGTCTCACGTCAAGTTATGGTGAGTAGGGAGTGGTGTGTGGATCTCAGCCTCCGACACTCACCCCCAGAGCGGCCCGCGACTCGCTCAGAGAACGCCTTTGCGTCCGGGGACTGCGGGGGGGCGAGGGAGGCTGGGGATTGCAGTGGGCACGCCGAGCCACGGGGGCGTGGGGAGCAGCGCGGACGCGCGGCGCGGCCGGCTAGAGGGCGACACCCCTCTCTCAGGTTGAACGGTGCTTCCGCCTCCTTGGTGTTAGACGAGGAATTGGAGAACCACAGGCTCGTCGGCTCAGGCGGGTTCGGCACCGTGTTCCGGGCGCATCACAGGAAGTGGGACTGCGATGTGGCGGTCAAGATCGTGAACTCGTGAGTGATCCGGGTTGCCCGCCGGCCAAGGTCTGGGCAAAAAGGTGGAGCCGCGGTGCTCTGGGACCTGAATGGGGAAGGGAGGGATTCTCCCGGGACCCCGGTGCGACTCCAGCTCTCTCCTGGAGTGTAGGAAGGCGATATCCAGGGAGGTCAAGGCCATGGCAAGTCTGGATAACGAATTCGTGCTGCGCCTGAAAGGGGTCATCGAGAAGGTGGGGTGGGACGATGATTTCAGGCCGGCTCTGGTGACTGAATTCATGGAGAACGGCTCCCTGTCGGGGCTGCTGAAGCCCCAGTGCCCTCGGCCCTGGCCACTCCTTTGCCGCCTGCTGAAAGAAGTGGTGCTCGGGATGTGTTACCTGCATGAGCAGAACCCGGTGCTCCTGCACCGGGACCTCAAGCCATCCAACATCCTGCTGGACCCAGAGCTGCACGTCAAGGTTAGCCGGTCTACACCCCTCTCAGCCTCAGGACAAGGCCCCATCCCAGAGCTGCTCCAGCCAGGCCCACCGGACACTAGACCTGCAGAGCCCTGTCTGTTGAATAGGCACAGCCTCTCCCTCTGGACTCCGAGCTGTCAGGGGACAAAGCCCAGCCGGAGTATTAGCTCCTGCCATACCAGGTGATAGAGGCCCTGACCCACACGAGTCATTTCCACCAGCTGTCCCACCGGGCCCTGGAGACTCAGACTTTTACCCAGCCCTACCACAGGGCACCTAGATCTACCATCCAAGGGAACCCCTTCCCTTGACCTTCACAATCCCTTTACAAAGCTGAACCTGCACCATCTGTGGGTAGGGAGGATTCTGGAGGCTGCCTGGCCCCCTTGTCTTCCCTACTTCCCCCCTCTTCCCTTCATTTGCAGCTGGCAGATTTTGGCCTGTCCACATTTCAGGGAAGCTCACAGTCAGGGACAGGGTCCAGGGAGCCAGGGGGCACCCTGAACTACTTGGCCCCAGAACTGTTTGTTAATGTAAACCGGAAGGCCTCCCCAGCCAGTGATGTCTACAGGTAAGGATTCCACCCCAAACACACAGCCGGGATTCCTACACCTCTCTTGGCTCTCCTAGGGGATGGAGTATAGGAAGGGAGTCTTGCCAGTGATTGGACCTGTCCTCAGCTTTGTGTCTCCTGCAGCTTTGGGATCCTGATGTGGGCAGTGCTTGCTGGAAGAGAAGCCGAGTGTAAGACTCTAGGCGGATTCTGGGATCCTTAACCCCAGGTGCCCTTCTGAAAGCCCCAAGGCTTCCCCTTCCTGCTCATCTACTTAGACTGCCCTCCTCCCTCCTAGTGCCCCCACATTACACTCCCTGCCTCTTTCCATGATGGACAGATATTCCCTTTTACCCTGAATGCCTTCTCTTCTCACCCACCTCCCCTACTCCAGGGCCGACTGAAGCATCACTGGTGTATGGAGCAGTGTGCAAGAGGGAGGGCCGGCCCTCACTGAACGAGCTGCCCCAAGCCGGGCTTGAGACTCCCGGCTTGGAAGGACTGAAGGAGTTAATGCAGCTCTGCTGGAGCAATGAGCCCAAGGACAGACCCTCCTTCCAGGGTGAGCTGGCCAGTTAGCTGGATCTGGGGTAAGCTTGGGTCTGTCAGCAGGGGGCTCTTCTCAGGAAAAGATTTGCTCACCTGCAACCCACTCTGCTGTCCCTCTAGAATGCCTACCAAAAACTGATGAAGCCTTCCAGCTGGTGAAGAACAATGTGAATGCTGCTGTCTCCACAGTGAGCTCCCAATATCATCCCTCCCCAGGAGCTGGTCAGGGATAGCACAACATGACTACCTAGCCATCCAATGACTTACCACTTTTTATGCCTTGAACTTTGTCCCCACCCTCCCCAGCCCACCCCTGAGTTCCCAGACAACAGATTATGGACCAAGAGACTACTCCCTTGGGTTTACTCTGACTCATCCAAATCATACCCAGCAAACTCCTCCATCCCTGCAGGTAAAGAATTTCCTATCTGAGCTCAGGAGCAGCAATAGGTCAGGCCAAGGAAAGACAGAAATGGATGGCTTTGGGAGAACCACAGGAAGGCAGCACTGTTATGATGATTTCATAGATTCTGACCTGCTAAAGGAACTGAATCTAGAGGAGTCTTCCAGCTGTGTTCCTGAAAATTACCCGAGCCTTACCAAGAAGAGCAGGGCAGAAGAGGAGCAGATTCTGCAAGCTAGGACAGCAGGGACATCTTCAGATTCAATGGCTCAACCTCCCCAGACTCCAGAGACCTCAACTTTCAGAAACCAGACGCCCAGCCCCACCTCAACTGGAACACCAGGTCCTGGACCCCAAAGGAATCAGGTGAGACATTGGCAGGATTAGGGAATACACTAGAACTCCTATAAATCCTGTCCCCTTGCCAGGGAAAACTTGGAGCTGAGAGGAGTGCAGTGGGAGCATCGGACTCCGGGACAGAACTGAATGCTCTGTGCTGTTTGCAGGGGGCTGAGAGACATGGCATGAACTGGTCCTCCAGGAACCCAGAGCCAAATCCAGTAACAGGTACCCACTCTCTACCTCTTTTTTTCCCCTGTTCAATTATTCCACCAGACTCTTCCTCCAGACCTATATCTAGATTCAGGGTACCTTGTGGAGGGGAAGAGAGAAGACGATCTAACTCAACCTTCTCATTTCATAAATGGGAAAACTGACATCCCCTAAGAAAGGAATGCTCTGAGGTCTCACAATAAAGCTTGGATTTATCCCTGAGTTTTCTAACTTTCCACAACACCAGCTCTGTGTGTTGTCCCTAAGTTCCATAGTTGTTTCAGCAGTCCAGTGGACCTCCCAGCAAAAAAGATCGGGGTCTCAAATGTCCATTGCCACTCTCTAGAGCTTCTGCTAACCCAATTCTGGAGAGGAACTCTGAAGGGGAGGGCACAGGGCACACCTTGACAGAATCCATTGACAAGTGGAAACCTCATACTCCCCACCTACCCTCAACTTTGCCTTTCTGAGAGCTAAACCCTCCTGCCACCATCACTTTTTCTCTTAAAGGGACACCATCTATTACCTTACACGACTGCTCTGGGGTGCAAATTGGAAACAACAACTGCTTGACTATGTTACCGATGAGAAGGGAAACCCCCTCCTCTCCTCCCACTTCCCAGCCGCCACCTCCTCCTCCCCACCGGATGGGAAGGAGGGTGAAAAAAATAAAATAGACCGGTCACAGTGGCTCATGCCTGTAATCCCAGCACTTTGGGAGGCCTAGGTGGGTGAATCACCTGAGGTCAGGAGTTCGAGACCAGCCTGGCCGACATGGGGAAACCCCATCTCTAAAATAAAATAAAATACCAAAGAACTGGGAAGAACCTTTTCAGTTCTGAGTGTCTCTGCTATCTGTAAGCCTTGAAAGAGTTGCAAATGAATGTTATCCCTACCAGCTGGAGCCTGGCATTGGGTCAGCCCCCACAACTGCATGGTGGGCTCCCTCCTGGAAACACCTCTGCCAACAAATAGTTTACTGCCTTTGTCCAGTCTCTGTAAGCCCTCTCCACTGCCTGTTCCCACTCACACTGCATATGAATTAGCAAATCAGTGAAGCCAAAGGATTGTAAGGTTGGATGTCCAGCAAATGGACGTTGACATAGTTTCACCTCAGTTTCTCCCTTTAGTATTGTAAGCCTCTAAAAGGGGAGAGAAGCTACTTCTGGGGAGCTTGGTGGTGAATGAGGCTGTAGCCCGCTGCAGCTCCGGGCCAAACAAAAAGCCATTTCCTTCCTCAGTTTGGTGTTCCAAAGGTTTGTTTCTCACCACTCATGCTTCACGGACAACTGCCTTGCCCACCCAGGGTCTGGCACCTTTGGGCCTGGGCAGAGGCTGGCAGCACCCCCCACCAGTAGGTTTGCAAGAAGGCCCTAAAGAACCTGAAGCCTGGAGTAAGCCACAGAGTGAGTATAATCATAGTGGGAAATCAAGCACCTTCTGAGCCTGCCTCCAAGAGTTAAGAGTTAAGGAAGAGCACCACCCGGTGAGGCCCCTGACTTCCTTTCAGGGCAGTCTGGCCTGCCCACAAGCTGACTTTGTGATCTGTCCCCCAGGAGTCAATAAACATGATGGAATGCTAGCCAAAGTCTGAGCTCAGCCAGGGGCAGGGTGGGACTGGGATGGGGGTGGGGGCTGCCAGTGAGGGAGAAGGAGACACCACAGCTCTGCTAAGGCAGGAAGTGGGGATGCTGGGGGCTGGGAGTGGGCAACAGCCTGGCACACAAGGTCAGGGCCCAGCCTCTCTACAACAGGAAGGAATGAATCCCAGAGGCCTGGTTCCCCAGACCACTCTAATCTCAGGGTGGTGCTTCCTTCCTCTAGAGCCTAGGATGGTAACCCCACCCTAACCCTAAACTCTGGGGATAGAAGCTGTGGTCCCTTCTCTTCTGAGCTTTCAAGACTCGGTTGTGGGGCCACCGGGAGGGATGTGTCTATGTGAAACATAGCAGACCAGGCCCTGCACGGTGCCCCCAGGCTCTTGGAGGTCATGATGCCCCATACCTGCCTCCAAAACACACTCAGGTTGCTTCCTAGACATTGCTTCCCTTTTGATTCCCAGCTACTGTTCAGGAGTGGAAAGCTATGGCTCCTAAAGTTACACACAGAGCATCCCCTCCGACGGAGCACGAACAGTTCCAACCTGGTGGCAGTGGTTGCCAGCCAGTCGGAGAGGGGTGGGGAATTAGCGCCCCCAACTCTGACCTAGATCCCCATCGCGACCCACACTCTTCCCTACATTCTCACCAGACTTCAACCCCCCTCAGACTCCCCACTTCCAAACGTTCACCCCTATTCGGACACATCCCATTCTGTCCACCCCAGCCCATCTCTTCGCATCTCTCCCAGGGTCCACATTGCCTTCCCTGAAGGGTCTGAAGAGGGGAGGCGATGGTGTTAAGAGAGAAGAAACCAAGTCGGGGAGGATACCAGGGGAGTCTGGCTTCTGCACAGGAAGGGGACGGGCTGTCCTGTCGGGGAAGTGGGAGGGGGCCCGCGGCGCCGGGAGGGAAGCTCCTGTCGCCCGGGGACTCCGAGCCAGAGCGCAGCGGCGAGCATGACTCCGCCACCAGGGCCCTGGCTCTCTCCCCCGGCCCAGCTCACTTCGCTGCGCCAGCGCCGCGGGCAGTGAGTTCGGGGGACAGGGGAACCCGGGGCTCCCTCGCACCAACCCCAAGTCCTGCCCCCTGGCGATGAGGCTTTGCTAGGGCACCTCCACACTCCGGGTATGAGGGAGGAGGAAGGGACTGAGGGGTCCCCTCATCGCCAGCTGGGAACAGGCTGGGAGGCCGACAGGAGGGCCTGAAAAAGGAGAAGGAGTTGCCGCAAGGTTGGGGGCGCGGGGTGATAGCGGCTTGGAGCTCGTGAGAAAGACCTGGGTGGGGCCCGCCAGGCCAAAGGAGATAACCCGGAGCCCGGCCCTTGCCAGTCCCGGGGCTCGGGGCGGGAGAGATCATGGCCCGCCTCTTCAGCCCCCGGCCGCCCCCCAGCGAAGACCTCTTCTACGAGACCTACTACAGCCTGAGCCAGCAGTACCCGCTGCTGCTGCTGCTGCTGGGGATCGTGCTCTGCGCGCTCGTGGCGCTGCTCGCGGTGGCCTGGGCCAGCGGCAGGGTGAGCCGGGTTTCCGCTGCGGGAGGGTCGCTGCCTGGGGGGCATTTTCGGGGTTGGGGTTGGTGGGGTCTTCTTTTCGATATGTTTTCGCTGCTGGGAGCCGAGAAAGAAAAGACCGTTGAGCCTGGCTAGGAACTGCAGCGTTCCTGGGCAAGTCACTCTACTCTTCTGAGTCTTCGCGGGGACAAAGCTGAGTCCTGGATGCTTCCCGTTTCTGTCCCTGTTCCGATAGACTTTAGGAGCATCTGTGGTCTACAGGTTCCACAATAAATCCATCGCCGGATTTTCCAGTTTTCCAAAGGGGAAATTCTAGGATGCCCTGGGGAATTCATTTCCTGGCTTTCTCTCCCTCTTAGGGGATGTGGGGCAGTTGTACCCATAGACTCCCAGAAGGCACCCTCCAATCCGGCCCTCACTGAGTCCCAAAATAAACCCATTCCAGTTTGTTTGGGGAGGAACGGGGTTTTCAATCCAATTCTAGAAAGAGCCTGCCCCGGGTTTTCTTTTCATTCCTTGGAGGCAAGGTGGGAAAATCACCGGGTGTGGCCAATCCTTGCTGGTCCACGCCGAAATCCGAGAGGAGGTGGGGACAAAATTGTGGGACGACGGTGAGACTTCTGCGAAGAGTTGAGGCAAGTGATGAGATCGCAGCCCTGGCGGCCAGGGAGGTGCGGGACGCTGTGGGTCCTGGAGCCCTGTGCTGCTCGAGCACTGCCTCCGCCGCCCTCCAAGCTGCCAGCCACCGGCCCGGGCGCCGGCCATGTCCTGAGCAAACTGGACAGATTTGGTGACACTCATTCCGAAGTGGCTTCTTGTGAGCTAGGATCTATCTTAGCTTCACAACGCCATGGTTCCCGTTTGATTTTAAAACAACAACAACAACAAAACAAAAACCCAGGCTCTGAAAGGTCATGGATTCACAAACAGGGGATGGGAGCCAGTTCTTCTGGGTAGCTGTCCTAGGCTCAGCGAGATAATAGGTTGGACCGCAAGAGGCTGGGTGCGATGGCTCACGCCTGAATCCCAGCACTTTTGGAGGCCGAGGCGGGAGATCGCTGGAGCCCAGGAGTTCGAGACCAGCCCGGGCAATTTGATGAGACCCTGTCTCTACTAAAAATACAAAATAATAATAATAATTAGCCGGGCGTGGTGACGGGAACCGGTAATCCCAGCTACTCGGGAGGCTGAGGCACAAGAATCGCGTGAACCCAGGAGGCAGAGGTTGCAGTGAGCCGAGATTCCGACACGAAACTCCAGCCTGAGCGACAGAGCGAGAGGTCTCAAAAAAAAACAACCAACCAACAAAAACCATACAAGATTGCTGAGTCTAGATAAAAACAGTAGGACACAAGCAATTTCAAATGGTTCAACCTAAAATGAATGGCAAGTGGAAGTGTCTTGCCTCCTTTTCCTACTTAGGCTCCAGACACCTTTCAGAAACGGGCTGAGGTCGGAGCTGCCAGTTCTTCCTTTACCAGTTTCGTTCCTTCTCCCTGTCATAATCTTGCCTCGCACACCCCTTGCCCACAGGAGCTGGCCTCAGACCCGACCTTCCTGACCACTGTGCTGTGCGCGCTGGGCGGCTTCTCGCTGCTGCTGGGCCTCGCTTCCCGCGAGCACCGACTGCAGCGCTGGACGCGACCCCTGTCGGGCTTGGTGTGGGCCGCACTGCTAGCGCTAGGCCACGCCTTCCTGTTCACCGGGGGCGTGGTGAGCGCCTGGGACCAGGTGAGAGGGGCGGCAGGCCGGGCAGCGGGGACAGCCCGGGCCTCGATCCCTCACTGGGCCTTGAATAGTGCCACTTGGACCTTCAGCTTCCCGCGCCCCTCCCCCAGGTGTCCTATTTTCTCTTCGTCATCTTCACGGTGTATGCCATGCTGCCCTTGGGCATGCGAGACGCCGCCGTCGCGGGCCTCGCCTCCTCACTCTCGCATCTGCTGGTCCTCGGGCTGTATCTTGGGCCACAGCCGGACTCACGGCCTGCACTGCTGCCGCAGGTGAGCACGCAAGTAGCACAGGCTGCTCTCAGGACGGCTCTGCCACTTGCTAGTAGGCTCCTTTCGGGGGATGGTTGAGCTGTGACTCCAAGGCAGGGTTCAACGCTGGGCGAAGGATACACAGACCCAAACGTGCTTTCGTGGAACTGGTACACCAGTGCGGTACAGTGCCTGCTGTTACGGGAAGAGGGTTCTAGGCCTCAGGGAAGGAAGTCGTGTCTTGGTTTGCCCGGGGGATCAGGCAGGTGGCGATAGATGTGGTTAATGAAACCTTCACACAGAATGTGAAAAAAAAAAAAAAAAAAAGTTTTGTGCGACAGGAGTGGGTACCGACAGTGGAGTGGTATTCCAGGCAGAGGAAATGTACCTGCAAAGGTTTCCAGACCTAAGAGGTCGTGTTAGTGCAGCAGCCAAGAGTCTGGAACAGGGAGTATCTGGGAAGGGAAACGCCCCTCGGGATGCCACAGCGTGGCACCACTCGTCCCACAATACTTAGGTCCCTCACTGCAGAGTCCAGTCTTCCCCAGCCAGTCTTTGAGACCAACTCCAGCTACATAGGACAACCACCTGGGGCCCGCGTCCTCTGAGGCTGGCCCTTACCCACAGTTGGCAGCAAACGCCGTGCTGTTTCTGTGCGGGAACGTGCTGGGAGTGTACCATAAGGCGCTGATGGAGCGCGCCCTGCGGGCCACGTTCCGGGAGGCACTCAGCTCCCTGCACTCGCGACGGAGGCTGGACACTGAGAAGAAACACCAGGTCAGCCGGGCCTAGGAAGGCCAGACCAGTGTTCCAAGAAAGGAGTTGCTTAGATTACATAACGGGGCTTCTTCACAAGTTGAGTGACTCTGGGCAGTTTTCTTGACCTGTTTTCTCTTTTGTATAAAACGTGGGTATTGCCCACCTTAGAAGGTTGTGAGGCTCAAACAAACAACAGCTTATAAAAAGCACTTTAGAGCATTATATTAAGTGGAGAACAGTCCCTGAAGGTGATCGTTGTAGGAGGAAGTGTTGGGGCCCTGCTGTGTGCAGCAGGAGGACTTGGGAGAGCATCCTGGAGAGCACCTGAGGTGGGCAGGGCAGTGTGGGCCCCTGAGTGTTTTTGGGGACGGGGCTCATGGCTTTAAGGTGCAGAAGAGTTGATACTCATAGTCACCTCTTCCAGGAACACCTTCTTTTGTCCATCCTTCCTGCCTACCTGGCCCGAGAGATGAAGGCAGAGATCATGGCACGGCTGCAGGCAGGACAGGGGTCACGGCCAGAGAGCACCAACAACTTCCACAGCCTCTATGTCAAGAGGCACCAGGGAGTCAGGTATGAGGAAGGATGACTGGAGGGGAGGGACCCGTGGACTAAGACCCTGGCCCCACTGACACAGTATGCCCTATGTAGCGTGCTGTATGCTGACATCGTGGGCTTCACACGGCTGGCCAGCGAGTGTTCCCCTAAGGAGCTGGTGCTCATGCTCAATGAGCTTTTTGGCAAGTTCGACCAGATTGCCAAGGTCAGAGGGGGCTTCCATCCCCACCCAGGGACCCTCAAACATCCCATCCTGGGTAGCCCATTCCAAGGAAAACTCCCACCTCATAAGATCCCATGCCCACTTCAGCCCATGTAGACCCCCAGATATTCCAAGGGAAGGAGGAAACCCTCTCAAATATTCCCAACATGAAGCAGCTCACCACACACCTCAAACCCACAGAGATCTCTCAATATCTTTGCAGACGTCCCAACTACAATGCCTCAAACATGCTCAGAGCCCCAACACATGTGTCTCTGGACACTATCACCAAATCTATAGAGATGTTCTGATATCCTAACCTAAGGAGGCCCTTCTAAGAGAAATTTCTGCCCTATGCAACCTCAGACCAGCAACCTGCTTAGACCCCAGGGATGCCTCCAAGCAACCAATTCTTGGATTCCCCCCAACTTCTCAATCCCGAGACCAGTACCATATGCTTAACTCTGGGTGCCCCCTTCACATGCCAAAAGTGGAAAGAGCCACAGACATCCAGCTCTTGAGAAAACCCTTCTGAGAAAGAGATCTGCATGGAAGACAGTCAGCCCCATGTCAAGCTAAAGGAGTCCCTAGATCTGACCTAGACACTACCCCACCTTGGAAGTTCTTCAGGAATACCACACTCCCCACTTTTCCCAACTCCCTCCTACCCTTCTGGCCTCTAACCAGGTTCCTCTACACACCCACATACACACTCCCAGGAGCATGAATGCATGCGGATCAAGATCCTGGGGGACTGTTACTACTGTGTCTCTGGACTGCCACTCTCACTGCCAGACCACGCCATCAACTGCGTGCGCATGGGGCTGGACATGTGCCGGGCCATCAGGTCAGCTCAGGCAGTGGGCAGGAGGGATGCTGACGGTGGATGTGGGAGGCAACAGGCAGCTGGCAGAAGTCCTCTTTGTGAGAAGCAGGGGTGCCGCACAGGCAGGGCTGAGGGTAGGACTCAGATTGTCCCACACACACTCTGCTCAGGAAACTTCGGGCAGCCACCGGCGTGGACATCAACATGCGTGTGGGTGTGCACTCAGGCAGTGTACTCTGCGGAGTCATCGGGCTGCAGAAGTGGCAGTATGATGTTTGGTCCCATGATGTCACACTGGCTAACCACATGGAGGCAGGCGGTGTACCAGGGTGAGACCTGGGGCCCTAGGCAACCAACCAGGCCTACCACAGGCTGCCACCCTTTTCATTAGTTCCTTAAGATGAGCAAAGATGAGTACCTTAAGATGAGTCCTATATGGGGCTCGGGGAGACCCTAGGGTGCAGGGAGGGGAGCTGGGAGGCACGCCCTGTAACATAGGGTCTTTCTTGAAGTCAGACCTCCAGGAATGATCTTTGAAAGACATGAGATGTTTGTCAGTTCTAGGAGCCAGGAGGCAGGATGGGGACTAGGAGGTTTAAAGGCCCTCCCTGCTAACCCCTTCTGCCCCCCACCTTCCAGGCGAGTGCACATCACAGGGGCTACCCTGGCCCTGTTGGCAGGGGCTTATGCTGTGGAGGACGCAGGCATGGAACATCGGGACCCCTACCTTCGGGAGCTAGGGGAGCCTACCTACCTGGTCATCGATCCACGGGTAAAAGCCCAGCCTGGACCCCCTAGGCTGGCCCACACAAACCATCCCATAGCCAACAGGCCTGATCTCTTCTGTGCCAGAGATTGAGTTCCTGGGTCCTAGTGGGGGTGGAGGGAGAATGAGGCACTGTCTGTGGTCTTTACTCTCAGCCCTCATGTGCCCCAGGCAGAGGAGGAGGATGAGAAGGGCACTGCACGGGGCTTGCTGTCTTCGCTCGAGGGCCCCAAGATGCGTCCATCAGTGCTGATGACCCGCTACCTGGAGTCCTGGGGCGCAGCCAAACCTTTTGCCCACCTGAGCCACGTCGACAGCCTGGTGTCCACCTCCACCCCTCTCCCGGTATGTACACCTTCACCCTGAGCACCAGAGCTTAGGTAAACTCACCCCCAGTATCCTCGGGCCCCAGCCCAGCCTTCCCTGCCCCCACCACAAGTGAGTTGCTTAATGATTTGTGACATCCCAAAATCCCGAAATGTCTGGTCACCCCAGTCACTGGTTCAGGCCCTTCCTTGACCCTCCTTCCAGAGAAAGAGCCCTCCAGCTCCCCTCAGAGAAAATACAAGATCACCACAGACCCCATGTCCATAACTCCCCTGCCTCTACTCAGGAGAGAGCCTTCCCCTGACATCACAAAGGCAGTTGAACCCCCACTTCCTCCTGACTCTGATTCTAGGGCTGTGCACCTATAGCACCAGGAAATGTCTCTGTTTAAGTCAATTCCTGAAACTGCATGCTCTCTCCTTCAATCCCCCCAACATTGGGGAGTGGGGGAAGGACACTGGCAGCAGTGATTGCAGGAAGTACTTATTCCCAAGTGTTAGCATGAGGTAGGGGAGAGGTCAGAGGGTTAAGCCAGCAGGAGGAAGATGAAGGAAGAAGCCAAGTCTCAGCTGACTGTTGCAGGATGAGGCCTCCAGCGAGGGTGGAGTGGTATGTGGGGATTGCTATAAGCCCAGGGACTGTGAGATGACCTTAGGTGCAATTACATGGTGGGAATGCCTGCCAGGGCCCATGCTAGACCTCCTGCCACTTTCCACTGGTGTGCAGGCTACGGAGTATCAGGGTGGAAGAGCCAGACCCCTTGTTCAAGGGTGTCTCTGGAGGCAGGACCTCACTAGCACAGAAATCCACTTAGCCCCTGAAGTTCCAGGGGCTGGGTCAAATATTAGAAATCTTGCCAGGCACGGAGGTTCACGCCTGTAATCCCAGCACTTTGGGAGGCTGAGGCAGACGGATAGCTTGAGGTCAGCAGTTTGAGATCAGCCTGGCCAACATGGTAAAATCCCATCTCTACTAAAAATACGAAAATTAGCCAGGCGTGGTGGTATGTGCCTGTAATCCCAGCTACTTGGGAGGCTGAGGCAGAAGAATCACTTGAACCTGGAAGGCGGAGGTTGCAGTAAGTTGAGATCATGCCACAGCACTCTACCCTGGGCAACAGAGCAAAACTGCATCTCAAAAAAAAAAGACATCCTGAAAATCACCATCGGCTTACCCCTAAACAATGTGAAACTTTGAGTGGTGGGGCAGTGTGTGTGTGTTTGTTCATCCATTCATTCCTTCCACATTTTCTGAACACCTACTGTGTGGCAGGCATTAGGCCAGTTCTTGAAAAGACAGAAATCAATAGGATGTTTCCCTGCCTTCAAATAGTTTACAGGTGTTGGGAGGGGGCAGATAGGTAGTTTGAAAAAAGTTAGTCCCATACACAGGTGCATGGATGGACTCACACCTAGAACATATCATTCCCTCTCAATATCTTCATTCCCTCTCAATATCTTTCCTTCTCCCTTTCTCTCTCCCATACACCAGGCTTTGGTTTGAGGGATGATGTGACATGGGACTCTGCTTCCTCTGCATGGACCACAGGGAGCAGGAAGAAATGCTCACCATATTTCATGTACTAGGCAGTGCCCACAAAGCTTCATTTCCTCTCAGCAGCTGCTTTCTTTGCCTCCTCATTTTCATATCACTCCTTGTACTGTGCATTCCTTTTGACGAGGAAGGGAATGACTGTAATAGGGTTTACTTCCCTTCTTCTTCTTTCTTCTCCTACTTTGTTATCCACCACTACACCTCTCAGCTCAGCCTTGCTGACCTCAGGAAAGGTCAGAAAAGAGTCAGAATGTTTATCATTGCTACTTCAATTTAAACCAACAGGGATTTTTTTTTTTTTTTTTTTTTTTTTTTTTTGGCATCCAAGGGTGATGGGAAAGTCCTTGCCTTTGGAATTTGTGCACTCTTAAGGGAAAGTGAGACACAGAGTCTACAGCCACTCAAGCCTATAGAAGACAGAGTTGCCCAGGAAGTGATAGAAACTATGAGGAAATCAAGAGTATAAAGATCCTAAGGGTCGGCCAGGCATGGTGGCTCATGCCTGTAACCCCAGCACTTTGGGAGTTTGAGGCAGGCAGATCACCTGAGGTCAGGAGTTTGAGACCAGCCTGACTAACATGGTGAAAACCTGTCTCTACTAAAAATACAAAAATTAGCTGGGTGTGGTGGCACACACCTGTAATCCCAGCTACTTAGGAGGCTGTGGCAGGAAAATCACTTCAACCCAGGAGGCAGAGGTTGCAGTGAGCCGAGATCGCGTCACTGCACTCCAGCCTGGGTGACAGAGCAAGACACAATCTCACCAAAAAAAAAA